ATCTAGACACCGTGTATCATACTATTCGGATATCGTTATAGTCATCATGTAGACATCATGTCTAAACACTGTAGGTATCAGTATCAGTATGAGTTATTCTACATCATCTAGACACCGTGTATCATACTATTCGGATATCGTTATAGTCATCATCATCATGACACCATCATCTAGACACCGTGTATCATACTATTCGGATATCGTTATAGTCATCATGTAGACATCATGTCTAAACACTGTAGGTATCAGTATCAGTATTTCTACATCATCTAGACACCGTGTATCATACTATTCGGATATCGTTATAGTCATCATGTAGACATCATGTCTAAACACTGTAGGTATCAGTATCAGTTATTCTACATCATCTAGACACCGTGTATCATCTATTATATCGTTATAGTCATCATGTAGACATCATGTCTAAACACTGTAGGTATCACTAGATATCAGTATATTCTACATCATCTAGACACCGTGTATCATACTATTCGGATATCGTTATAGTCATCATGTAGACATCATCATGTAGACATCATGTCTAGAAACACTGTAGGTATCAGACATATGTCTAAACACAGGTATCACTATCAGTTATTCTACATCATCTAGACACCGTGTATCATACTATTCGGATATCGTTATAGTCATCATGTATCATGTCATATCACTATCAGTTATTCTACATCATAGACACCATGTCTAATCATGTAGACACCATGTCTAAAGACTGTAGGTATCTGTATCTACATCATCTAGACACCGTGTATCATACTATTCGGATATCGTTATAGTCATCATGTAGACATCATGTCTAAACACTGTAGGTATCACTATCAGTTATTCTACATCATCTAGACACCGTGTATCATACTATTCGGATATCGTTATAGTCATCATGTAGACACCATGTCTAAAGACTGTAGGTATCACTATCAGTTATTCTACATCATCTAGACACCGTGTATCATACTATTCGGATATCGTTATAGTCATCATGTAGACACCATGTCTAAAGACTGTAGGTATCTGTATCTACATCATCTAGACACCGTGTATCATACTATTCGGATATTGTTATAGTCATCATCTACATGTCGTGTTTCCAGTTTATACATATGTTCATGTACATCGTCTGGACACTCTGTATGATACTATATAGATGTTGTTGATTTGATTTTGATTTGATTTGATTTCTACATATTTTATTCATTGAAGAAAAGGATTGGGCACAAGTTTTCCAACTTAATGACGCCCTCTCCCAATATTTACAACAATGATATTTACATGAGAAACAGGGAACATATACATGAGACATCTTGAGTTTGAGAATATAACAGATTAGGATGAAAAGAGGAATCGTTTAGTTTGATTGATGTAATGATGAACGTGTTTGAAGATGTTCAGATTTTCTTCAGTTGAGAGGTCTGCATTGCCATATGAAAAAGACATATGTCTAGTAAATATCTATTTTGTAAAATATCACTTATGGTAGCTAACAAAGTTTCTCTATGTAATTTATAAAGGGGACAATCCAAGAAATATTGAGATACATTTTCACAAAGACATCCGCAAGACCATGATGGATCGGTTATAATGTTGATTCTATACAAATCATTGTTGAGCGTATTTACGTTGTATCTTAACCTTGAGTGTAAAATATTTAGCTCACGTGTACCAGATGAAAAGTATAGATGTTGTTATAAACATCATCTGGACACCTTGCCTATGTACTATAAATTTATGTACACCGTCTAGATACCTTGTGTTATACTATTTAGCTCAGTATTATTATAAGATATATTTTACTAACTAAATTGTTCGCATGAATGCAAGACGTTATTTAAGTTCATGAACATTTGCAGACATATTTTTCTGCAATTTATTATTGATGTTTGCCCACTGACACCCCATATCTTACTAATTACTACAGACCCGTGAAGGTCCGGGTTAGAATATTGATCTTCAGCAACCCATGCCTGTCGTAAGAGGCGACTAATGGGATCGGGTGGTCAGGCTCGCTGACTTGGTTGACACATGTCATCGTATCCCAATTGCGCAGATCGATGCTCATGATGCTGATCACTGGATTGTCTGGTCCAGATTCGATTATTTACAGACCGCCGCCATATACCTGGAATATTACTGAGTGCGGCGTTAAACAACCAACCTATTTATATATCGTTATAGATATCATCTTGACACCTTGCCTACGTACTATACATATCTTTATGTACATCGTCTAGACACCCTGTATTATGATATTTAGATATCGTTGTAAACATTGTTTTGACACCTTGCTTACGCACTATACATATCTTTATGTAATCGTCTTGGCACCTTGTATTGTACTATATTCGACATCTGGATATCCTTATAAGACTCGCCTTGGCATCATGTATAAACTCTGTAGATGCTCTCACATACATACTGTATCTCAGTCTGTCTCTTCGTCGCTGTACCGCAGTATTTTCTCTTCTGCCCAACCCTAAATTCTCCCTTATCATTGGGGCCCTGTTTCAGTTGAAAAGGAATTTTTTGTTTTTATCAAAATTATATCATAGTCAGGGACTAAGCGTTAGTCCACCATCGTCTAAACACCCCTGTAGACACCGTCAAAACATGCAGATGTTACCGATGATCCGTACACCCTGTTTCTATGTACAGTCTTATGCTATATACAGAGTTATGCTATATTGTTTGATGACATCATATATCACATCGCTATGCAATGTACATGACACAAGGCCTTCTCTGTCCTTCATAAATTGACTGTGCATAGACAAAAACACACTTCTTCAACGACAAAACAGCCACAGTATGCCATGTTTGACGCCGGACACATATATATTATACCAGTCATCGGATAAGATCACACGGGAAGACTGAGAGGCAACAGGTGATGCTGCCGATCGGGAAATCTCTTCCGTCAGATGAGCCCGCTATATGGCGCGGTGTCACGTAACCGCGGCTGTGACCGGAAGGGAAGGTTGTGGTGACCCAGCAAAGGAAATGTGCTGGTATACGGATATAATTATGTACGTGTCTAGTGACGACATGAGCATATCAGGAATGGAACTCGTGTATATCTGTCCAAAAAGACGAATGATACATGTAGATGGACGTGGAATTTGAATTCTCAACATTTTTAAAAAATTGAAAAAAATACCCCAACAACCCCTTGCGGCTAAGTTCGTTGTATCTGAAGATCGCTAGACATATGCTCATGAACATATATTACAGGTTCTTAGGGTGAAAACCACAATAATTAGGTTCGTGAAAACCACTACATCCGAGTGAGTTATGTAATTCCTAGATGCATAATGTAGATTGGGAAGATTTTTAAACAGATAAACCTTCCAGTTTGCTCACAGTTTTACAGACCTCATGAAAGAGCTCGTTATATCTGACGGTTGACGTTAAAGTGGCAGGATAACCAAAACAATACGTGGCTCTCAGACAATTAGGGACCGTTTATGATTTATGGCTAAGGGCGGATAATGATGATTTTAAAGTGTGTGTGTGTGTGTGTGTGTGTGGAGGTTAGGGGGGTCATCAGTTTTGTACACATATGTACTAGTGGAGGGGTCATAGAATTTGTACATGACATAGGTGGGGGTTGGGGGTGTCAGTTACTTTATTCATAAATTTTAAGGGGGTGGTGTTCATTCAGATTGTACATGCTACTCCATAAAACCACACACACACACACACACACGCACGCACGCACGCACACACACACACACACACACACACACACACACACACACACACGGACTTGTTCAAGTAACGGACTCTTCTTTGTGTGCACTTTTGGACTGGGATACTGTACACAGCTCACATGAGACTCGGCTGTCAGATACATAAACACCCATTTGGCATATGCATTATATATTGAAAGCCGGATTGTGTTTCGTATTCATCAGGCGGCAATATTCCTGGGTCAGCAGTATTGAAGTGCAGAGGCACACAACAAAATCCCTGATCGATAATGGCAGTGTCGATTCACAGGTGTACAAGATATCTTTAAAAGAGCCTGGTCAAATAACCTTTCAAGTTGGGTTATCATTTCGTACCCAAATTAAGAATGAGTGAGTGACTGGGTGGGTGGGTGGGTGTATGTACGAGGGGTGGGTGAGATGGGGGCGCGGTGGGCGAGCTGGCTAAGGCGCCAGGTTAGTGATCCAGCGAGGTTGAGGTGTCGGGATCGAGCCCACCTGTGACCGGGTGTAAAAACCTTGGAGTAAACTTTGTGTGCAGACTCTTTCAGTGTTGTCACAACCCCTAGTGTACAGTACATAACCCTGTGCACTTAAAAGAACCCACTAATCCGTTGGTATTGACCAGATGGTGGCCACATGAATACGTGCAAACACCCAGTTGCAGGTACAGCAACGTGCAGTGAACATGGACAAAGTACTGTGACTATGTGCCCCAGTCCACCCAGCTGTGAATGGGTACCTCGTAAGGATGAGAAAGCCACAATAACTCGGTGAGTCGTTGTCCAAGGGGCTGCAAGAGTTGTATACTTCCCAGTGGAGTTGAGATTGATAATGCGAAGTGCCGATCGAGATTGAAAATACCAATGATCGAGGGCAAAATACCAGCGCCTTGATATGCACTAGTGCGTGGATATATGCGCTATATAATATAATAATAATAATAATAATAATAATAATAATAAAAAAGATGAGTGAGTCAGTGGGTGTGTAGGTGGATGGATGGGTGGTGTGAGTGAATGAATGAATGAGTGCGTGAGTGGTGCAGTCGGTTCAATGGCATATCGGTATTTCTTCGGTTTGTTTCTTACTTTTTGTGTGTTATTGATAAAAATTATAGCGTTGTTGCATTAAAAAGTAAATTTTCCAGCCAAATATAGGATACCCAGTATTAACTATACCCAAAAACAATTTCCGTGACAAAAATAGCTGTCAAAATTGTATGAATCGATCACCGAAAATCAAACAATTCTCAGGCGAGAGAAGATATGGTATATGATTTTATTTTTTGGGCAGTACTAAAATTCCACGGTTACCTGTTTTCCTTAACGACTGAGTTGTATCCCTGAGTTGTCTCTCTGACTTCAGGGGAAGATACCCAAGTTCTTTGTACACTGCACCACACAAACTATCTATCAGAGTAGCTGTGAGATAGTTGATACCTTTCCGCCATTTTAGCGATTCGTACACCGAATTAGACTTGTAAATACATAGCAGACACGATGTATTTATCTTTCCGGAAGTGATACTTTTCACGTATTCTTCCACCTCCGCAGTAAAATGTAGTCCTGCAAATGCATACAGCTCTTTGGTGACGCGAAGGGGTTCCTTTGCCAGGTCTTCATAAAATACAAGCTTTATCCTACCTGGATACTTCATTTCCAGCTGTTCTCTAATTTTAATATCTTTCAAAACATCTTTACACGTCTTTTTGGCGTAAGGATACACTTTCGGCGATGGACTATTTCCGTACATCATTTGTGAGCGAATAGCAGCTCGAGGGTCACGAAACAGATGGATCATCTTAACTGATTGGCTAGCTCCGAGGATAGTATCCATGGCTTCTATTGGTAGACGGATTTCCTTGACAACGCGCACTTTTGAGGCTGAGCAGGGTTTTTGTATGAGATGTAAGCATCGGTATATTTCCACCTTTGTAGCGTTGGTTCGGTGGGGCTCGATGCAGTCGAAATAACGCTTTGTATCTCGACTATGTTTCAGATGATAATGGGTTAATGATTCCATATCTAGGTCAGTTAATCGACATTCGAGCTTTGACCTGATGATGTCCGACACTTCGCTTATATAATCTCGTTTCAACCTGAAATACATACAAGAGTTGTTCAAAGTACAAGAGTTTATAATATCAACTACAAAGGGTTGAAGTCATGTTAAAACTAACCTGAGTGGAGTAGACGACAGATGCAGCAGCTACAGTTGAGTTACGTAGTTGTTCCCCTTCAATCGTTTCAGGATTTGCGGATAGTAATCCTATATTATAAGTCAGTGGTATAGTGCGACAATGCTGAATACTGAATAAGCGACGTAAATCCCTTCTCAATGGAATATATTGGTGGAACAATGGTGCAAATGGCCCTTGTTTGCTTACATATTGCCTGAGGTCTATTGTTGGTTTCCTCAACGGTTGAGTAGACTAGTGGTTAAAGCGTTCGCTCGTCACGCTGATTACCCGGGTTCGATTCCCCAAATGGCTACAATGACTGAGGCTCATTTCTGGTGTCCTCGTCGTGATATTGCTGGAATATTGCTAAAAGCGTCGTAAAACCAAACTCACTCACTCACTCTCGATTTGTCAGCGCAGTACCCGTGTTTGTTAGTTACACAAAAGCGGGGTTTCATTTCACTTCAAGCTTGTTGTTTAACGCCATACTAAGCAATATCCACTCCAAAATACCAAAATCGTTGGAATGTTCCCGAAGCTGCGTAAAACAAGTCAGCATCAATAAACAACACATCAGTTTAATTAACAGATTTGATTATTACTAAATGCTAATACTTGCCGTGTTGGAACTTCGAGAAATTTCATTTCTTTACTTTCCGAGTCGTAGATGCCTTTAAGTGACTCAAACTCATAGAAAACATCCGGGCTAGCCTCAAACAAACTTCCGGCAAATGTAGACCCACTGCGCATGTACGTGAGGATGATGACACTAGAGGCTGTGTGATGGTTTAGTCTTCTGTAGAGATTGTTTGCTGCAACAAGGAACTGGATGAGATTGCATGTCGTAGGATTATTACGACGTAGGATTATTAAACATATTAAGATTAAATATACATTGCGTTACCTTTCCACGCTCTCTTGATTACCTTTATAATCGATCCCCATCGTAAGGCAATAGTTACATTAACACTTTAATATGTTTTCGTTAAGTTGATATTTTGATATGAACACATACGGGAGCTAGGACAAATTCAATGTATTAAACGTTTATTTTAAATTTGCTCGGGATTTCTTACACATTTGCCACTAAAAGTATGCAACAACTGATTAGTGTATTAGATAAATACATATCATAGTCACATGTAATTCGGAACAAGCGTGTGATGCATGTCCCTCGCCGTGATTTTGCTGCAATACTGCTAGAAGCGGCGTAAAACTAAGCTCACAAACTCCGAACAAGCACACAGATGAAAGTGATCGTGTCGATATCCGATCGACTTAAAAACGTTGAACCCGGATTTCAAAACGACCGCGACTAATCATGATCCTTTTGCGACACGATCGGATCCAGGATTGCAAACGAGTAGATGTAGGTTTGAGGTGTCTCCCGATCCACAAAGCGTTCGTAAGCCTATGATAAACTGAGGAGTTACGATAGGTCGTAGAGTTACGGCATTCCTACGCCTGTTATAAACTATAAAGTTACGATAGGTCCTAGTGCAACGACATTCGTACGCCTATTATAAACTATGAAGTTACGATAGTTCGTAGTGCTACAACACTCGTAAACCTGTAATAAACTATAGAATTACGATAGGTCACATCGATGATTGGGACCGTTTGCTATTATTTTTGTTCTATTAGTTATAATTATTAAAACTTTATCTTAAGAACAATTAAAACTGAAAATATTGCCGTCTTCATTCGTTACATACCACAGTACAACAGCAATCCAACAAGCAACAGGCTCACCAGCAGTGGCAGGGGCCGGCGGTACTGCAGCATCCTGAAAAAAGTGAACGAATCAGTGTCAGTGAACATTTATTGAGAGCTGGCCTGCTGGGAGGACGAGTTGGTATATTGACATTCCTACTCACATACTCACACAATGCTAAAACAGCTTCTTGCAAGTCCAGCTCTACACACAAGTACACAATGTATCCGTTTGGAATCGTTTATTCGAATATGAGTGTCCAATAGTATTTTAAACGCGAATGTGCAATGTATTTTGAACGTCAATGTGCAATGTATTTTGAATGAGAATGCCAAAATGTACGTAAATATGCATGCCTTGTGCATTCAAAAAATGAACGTCCTATATGTTTGGAAAGAGAATGTACGGTTGTATTTAGTATGTGAGGTAAATCACCGAACCTGACCTTCCGATCGGTTTTGACGCCTTTTACAACAATCATGTGCACAGGCTTTTTGGGACCAACATCAAATTCAGATCCCGAAGGACGTTGAATGCACATGTACGCGTCCTAATGCTGCGAGGCGGTGGGGTAGCCTAGTGGTTAAAGCGTTTGCTCGTCACGCCGAATAAAACTAAACTCACTCACTCCCTAATGCTAGATATAAAGTCTTGAAGAGTGACAAAGAAAAGAGAGATCATGGCAAGGGAAAAAAACCTAGAAGAGTAAAAAAAATAAACAACATAAATTGAACGATTAATAGATGCACACAGGGCCTACCTGAATGTTCTGTCACCCAGTGTCCCAGTCTTACAATGTCCCTACAGAGAGAGAAAGTAGATCAGGGCCACACTCCGGTGTTGAGAATCTGCAGCAAGGCAATGTCACGACTGATGCTGTTTACTCACTGTGAAAAGCACATTATTCCACAAAGCGGATTACATGTAGAATTCACGTAAAAAGATGGTAGCTCGGTGTCAATATAATGGAGTGAGTCTGTTAAACTGCAGCATGGTGTCTCTGTGGGCTCGGGCGATAGAAACGCCATTCGCCACACACACGTGCATGCACGTCATTCTTAATCCATGTTCACAAATAATAGCGACAACACACATTTCACATTCAAAAGCAGTCTCTGCTACAGCAGTCGAATGTAGGAATCAGGATCTTAAAGGTCACATGCAACCAAAAAATCAAACATAATTAAAACACAATTATCACTTATTCATGACATATAATATACATTGCTGGTTATGAAAAAACATATAAACAAAATTATAAGCGTACAATCGCAAATCAAAAGTGCAAATATGTGTACTTGGGTTTACTTCCCAAGAAACGAAGCAGCCGGGATACCGAACCCAGTCAGAGCGGGTGGGTGTGCACTCAAGTGTAACGGCTGGTTCATTTGCAGATGCCCTCACGGCTCATTGTGTGTGTATATATAGAGATGTTGGGTTTTGTAAATACATGCTCATTTTTTGTGTATAACAGACATCATAACATGTCATGTGTACAAGTATCACACCTGCCTGTCTGTGTAATTACATAATGTGACAGAGACCGAATTCGGGACATAAATCAATGCATTTTGTTTATGGTGTATAGCCTGATTGGTGTTAAGTTCAAATTGCATGTGGTCAGTTGTCGCAGTTGTGTATTGAATATGGTCATTAGCAGACAGGCAGGCAGACACATAGGTGTCAATTAAACAGACATTGAGTTTTGTCTGTGACAACGACATATCTATATCACAGTTAGAAATTCTGTCAACGCTAAATAATGACATTGCTTTTAAGTATCCAACTGAGAAAGTGACTCGGTAAGAAGAACGTGTGGTGAAATAGACAAATGAAATTATATAAACAGTTAATCTACTGTCATAACATATAAAAAGCTCGCGCCTGTGAAATATCAACAAAACATTAGAAAAATAGCTCACACCAAAGCCTTTACCGAAGATTCACCGGACAACCCGCTTCCAAGCTGCGTGAACCTATTTCACTGCGCACGTGCTATGAGCGCAGCCCAGCAATTGAAACCACTTGAATTGCCCCAAGCGCTGGGGGAAAATTAGTGAATCGTTTGAACTACGATTTCGCGCGGGTTTTTCATCGCGTTATTTTTCAACTTTATAAGTTGAATTTGCACTTTTGATGACTTGTTTCGGTAAGTCCATACCGAAAGGTATCAGAATCTGCAAAGTTGTGTTTTACGTTGCATGTGACCTTTAAGTATAATCCATTTGACTTCATTTGAGACCGATGAATCGCTCAGTAACACAAAATCTAATATATGCAACAAATTCAAACCTTGCACATGTCACATTATTTTGTTGTCACTTTTCGATCATTATTTTGTTGTCACTTTTCGCTATTTCTTACGAGGGAGAACCACTTGCTGGTAGAACAGCCAGGTAATCAACAAACGTGTGCAGTGAAATTTCAATTTCACACGAACAACTCGGACACCTGGCTGTTCTACCAGCAGGTGGTCCTCCCTCGTAAGAAATAGCGAAAAGTGACAACAAAATAATGATCGTTAGTTAAAGAACTTTTTTATTCGGGTGTCCAAAATTATGACACAAATCATCAGAGTTGGTCTTTCGATTTCATGTGACTGTGCAAGGTTTGAATTTGTTGCATTTATTAGATTTTGTGTTAGTGAGCAATTCATCGGTCTCAAATGAAGTCAAACGGACTGTAACTGTTGATTAATCAATATTTAACAGCGATGACACCGGGTGTTCGCAGAAAGGTGGGCGTATCCTTTAGCCCATTCCACGTGTGTATGTGTATGTCTTAATACCCTGCCACTTAATCACCCTTTATTTAGCTACGGATATGTCGAAGTTTTTATTCGATGTATTATATAACACCGACCTGCGTAAACCTAAACTTACTCGAACGGGTCTGGTGGAATTGCTTGAGTCCGTAAATTGTATTTCTTCGAAATGTAGTTGATATCATTTCAAACTTATATTCATAACAAACCGATGTGACTGTCAAGAGAGTTGACAAGATTGTTTCAGAAATATTGCGAAATTAATCAACTTATGTGATTCTCTAAACACGAGACGCCGTTGTTTCTGTTATAAGTGTAATGCACTGGGCATCAGAAGTACTAGTATAACAATATATATTTGTAAGGTCAGTACATCTAGCAGCTGATTATTACGAAAGCCTGATGCTACCTCAATTGTAGCATAATTTTGTTTCAGCGGAATGTATCGTTGTTTCGATTCTTTTCTCAAGTATTTTCTCGTTGCTTCATGTTTCTTGAAGAAAAACCCTTCAAATGTCAGTTATTTTCTCGTTGCTTCGAGTATTTCTCGTTACTTCATCATTCTTTACCCTAAAACCCCTTGAAATTGCAATTATTTTCTCGTTGCTTGGATAATTGTTTCAACATTTCTAGTATTTTCTCGTCACTTCAAGTTTGTCTTGAAAACTTGAAATTTGGGGTATTTTCTCGTTGCTGCGGATGTTTTCTCGTTGCTTCGATTATGATCACAGATCAAGGAGACCTTCGATTGCCACCAATATAAATATGCTGATAACATACTTCATATGATTATGGACGACAGTCCTATTACATTGTATACAGTACGATGTCTTTCATCAATGCGTTGAGATCATTCTGAGACGATGAACTCTATACAACAGTTGCAAGGTTTCAGCACCATGGGTTTCAAGGCTTCTGACTCCTGATAAGGTCTTGTATCCCAAATGAATTGTCAGATCAGTAAAAGCAATGTTATCTAAATGGCAACAAACGAGTACATAAAGGCTAAACGTTGTGGACAACCTTTGGATCATTAAATGTGTGTTATTCCACCAACACAAAGCACTTTGCACAAGGCTTTAGTCTGTTATTTTGTTATTTTGTCATCCACAAAACGTTCGTAGCACTACGACATTCGCAAGCCTATGATAAACGAAAGAGTAACGACAGATCGTAACGTACGTCACGATCGGTACCCAGTGCTTGACGTGGCTTTGAACTTCCGAAACACACTGTAGATTTGGCACCGGCAAATTCAGCCTCTTCCAAAATAAGAAATGCCCGGCGATCATTATGCAAATGAAATTGACGTCATTTCTGCTATGGCAATATTTTACACCACAAGGGGCAAGCTTTCTATATTAAGGTGATTCAGACACCTCGTTATCGTTGTGGATTATGTTAAAAAAATACTCAACAGCAAACCACGCCAACGCAGTCCATGACAGCTGGACCCAGAACGGTTCCGCCACCCCTCATATATGTAAATATGTTTCCAAAACTCATCCCTACACTAGACGCCAAAAGAAACGTTACCCTCCTATCTTTATGAATCACTTAAAAACTATCAAAGATATTATTAGCATTGTCTTGTGACAGCTGACACTAATTGCCAGGAGATCGATAACCCTTGTAGCAGCGTTGTTACCTTCCCTTTCAAACCTCATGTGTCATGTGTGGGTCAAGTGGAAACCCAAATGTTTATTTCAAGGGTTCTAACATAATGAAAAGGTGTAGCGGAATGTGCTGACAATTGGTACGAAGTTTTTATATTTCTTGCCAACAATCCGATACAACGAAGTAAGAGGCGGTAACAGGATACACTACATGTTTCGCGGGCGGTGGGGTAGCCTAGTGATTAAAGCGTTCCCTCGTCACGCCAAAAGCCCGGGTTCGATTCCCCACATGGGTACAATGTGTGAAGCCAATTTCTGATGTTCCGTTATATTGCCCTATATGGCAGTGTTTGTAAAAGCCGGCAGTGTTTGTTTGATGTTGGTTGGTTGGTTTTTTCGTGGTTTATGGTAGTGTTTGTTTGCAATTGGTTTCGTGGTACGCGCCAGTATTATATGGCAGTGGTGGTTTTATTGCTAGCAGTATTCCAGCTATATGGTTTCGTTGGTTTAACGCTGCAATTAGCAGTATTCCAGCCATATGGCAGTGTTTGGTTGGTTGGTTGGTTTTCGTGGTTTAACGCTGCAATTAGCAGTATTCCAGCTATATGGCAGTGTTTGTGGTTGGTTGTTTGTGGTTTGGTTGGTATTCCAGCTATATTTCGTTGGGTTTAACGCTGCAATTAGCAGTATTC